CTGCCCACGGCTGCCACCCGCTTTATTTTCAGTACCCAGCCTCCTTTATGTAAAAAGTTACAACCATAATTAGCATTTCATCCGGGAAACTCTCCTCTGATATGCTAGCACTTAAAAAAAAAAAAAAAAAAAGGGGGCATTTATTACAGATGTTTTTCTAGCCATGCTTTGATTTAATTATTCTTAATTATGAGAAAGGAAACAAAAACTAAAAGAAGGCAATAGCTGCTGTGATATTTCAGGGAGGAGCTAGTGTAGCCCAAACTACTAGGAATTGCTGTTGTAGTTACTGAGGAGCATGTTTACTGATTGCTACTAGAGATGACAAAAACATAAAGTAATCCGTGTTGTATCTGTACTTTGTCTTAATCTTGGAACTGTCTTGGTTCACATTGACAGTGTTGTGCTGAGTTTAGTCCATGTAGATCTTTAAAACTTGTCCCCTAGTCTTGCAATGGTGAAAGTACTTGCTGACAAATGGCAAGCTGTTTTTAGCTGGAGTTTGCTTAACAGGTGGGGTGTCACGCTTTGAACCAACTGAAGCTTTTTTTCAGTCTTACTGTGTATGTTTATATATATATATCTGTGTGTATATACACACACATATGCATACTTCCAGCCTACTGTGTTAATCCAAAGGTCTGTGTTCATGTCTGTAATATTTTGTAAAGTTTCTTGGGTTAATTACCAATGTTACTCAACTCTACCTGCCAGTCAAGTGACTGTCATGACAAGCCTTAGGCACTGATGGGCGTCAGTCATTGACTTCCAGGGTGGCACAGATGATGAACTAGGTTCACAGAGTTATTGCTTTACAAAGTACTTTCAAAACACATTTTTTCTATACTATGTTTTGGTATGAGGCCATGCTGTTTACATTTTAAAATACTTGTGAATATGTGATGTTTTCAAATAATGCTTTTCCAGTTGTTTGTGTGGAAATATGTTTGAAAGCAGCAGGAGACAGACGTTTGCGGAAATGCTCAATATTACCAGTGTTTTAGTGGGGATTTTTTTGTTGTTTTCTTGTTTGTTTTCTTTTTTTCTGGCTGTGTCTGCAGGTTGTTTTCTGTGGCAGGCAGTAAGGCTGTCTCGCTCTAATTGAATTATTGTGCCCTCTAGTGGGTATCACAGCAGTCTTCGCTGGTCAGAGTGATATTATTTAAAATCTAAATACTTTGAAACAGCAGCGGTTACAGACCAGTGCTAAATGAACAGTTAATGATGTATACACAATGATTAAATGTATGTACAATGATGCTTAGGTTATCTTCTCCATTTCTAGATCAGCGTTTTTCTTTTTGGCTTGTAAACAATGACATGTTTGAAGTTCTCTGCACGTGACTTTCTCATGTATGACACATTGTGAAAACAGATGTCGCAGAAGTACTACAGGTCTTTTTTTTCCCCTTAGTCACTGTAAGCTTGTTCTCTCTGAATCACCAAGATCGCTATATTTTTATCTATTATCTTATCTGTTTTTATGGGTGCTTCTGTTCTTCATATTGTAGATATTTTGGCCAACATTGTATGTGTTCATAGACTATAGAGATACGTAGGAATACCTAGGGCTATTAGTGTAACCACATTGCCCCTTGGGACCTGGACTATTTAGAAAAATCAAAATGTAACCCATGATGTTTGTGGTTGTACTTTCGCTACTAGTATTACTGTGATTTCCAGCTGGAGACTTTCAGTCAGTAACGTGGGATCGAGTTCTGATGTGAAGACTGTGCTTCAGTTTTAAAATTAAACTTGGAGTGCTCTAATTGCTGTTTTCTAGGAACAGCTGGCTTGTTTATGAAGTAATTTAGCTACAAGAATACTTGATTTTTTTTCTTTTAGATAGTAAATTTCTGTTTCAAAATAATAAGGAATGTACTAAAATATACTAATTTTTATTGTCAAATAAGTTGGTAGCAAAAAGATGCCTGAGTCGGATCCATTCAAAATACGGTAACTAGCTTACTTCCCGCTATAGCAAATTATTTTGTAAAGGTTCAAATAATTTAAATGAGCCTGTGATATTTTTAAATATAGTTTTCATGCCAAGTATTTTTTTGCCTTATGTTATTAACACATATATAATTCTTAAATTTAGTTAAAAATAAAATTTTAATGTCACTCAATCTTAGTTGATTATTTGATTCTTAAAATAATTTCACAATAGAATTGTTTTAGGTTCTGTTTCTTTGAAGTTGATGTCTTTTTCTGTTGCTTGAGTGGACTTTGAAACAGAAACTAGAAAAGCTGAACATATAAGCAAACAAAATTCTAAAAGCAGACTTATGAAGGGCATAGGCAGAGCAACAAGTTAATATGATGGGAAAATTGCACCTGGAGACATAAGAATGAAAAATGTAATTTTCTGAAGACTTTTTTTTGTTAATTTTTTAAAAAACATTTTTCTATATAATTAGAACAACATTTTAAATATAATTAAAATGGAAAGCAACTTTCAAATATGTTTTTTTTTTAATTTTGTTGTTGAATTAATGCATTTTCCCAGGTAAAATCGGTGACCCTGTTCAACACAGGAAAGTCAAAACTACACTCCTTTTTGCCAGTTGAAGATTGTGTCCTAGTATTACATCACTAGTCTTTAGCAGGGTCTTGTATATATTAGAAGGTTGCACTCACTGAAATTGGTATGTGGTTTAGATGGTTTTTTATTTCATTAAAGCAGCTTAGATAGTTCTTGTTCAATAATTTAAGTTTCTACTAAATTTCTGAATCAGGCCAACCAACAAGGATTTGCAATTTTTTTTTAACCTAAGTGCAAAGAATATTTTTCCTCTGTGTGGATGTAATGAAAGCTATATAGTACAACAAGGCAGTCTTTTCTGAGGATTGTGGAAAGCTTCAAAACCACAGTTTACTTCTTTAGAGCTGGCGTTCCATTTTTCTCGTCAATTTCACTTTGTATGATACTGAGAACAACTTATCACTGGGTTAACTGAATGGTTTCTGTAGAATATTGGTCTGTCCACTGAGCTTTGGTTTTTAAATTAGTGCTGAACATTGAACACATTAAAATACGATTTAGAAATGGCAACTCTGTTATACAGCAGGAGGTGGCTATTTGGTTCTGTTGTTCCAGTGTCACAGAGAAATGCAAAATGAACATTACATTGAAAGTACATGTTAGTGAAATACTCTTGCCACAGACACTAGGTACTTCTTGCATTTTTATTGTCAGCCTGTTTTCGGCTTCAGGTATTGCCAGAGAAAGAATAAACTAACTTGTGTCAGTACTGCAGTATTGATAACAGTAAGACAGCAGATTTTTTTTTTTTTTTTTTGGTACTGTGCAAAAATACAGGTTATGCAGCTACAACAGAAAAATCTGTATTATGCTGAAAGCTGAGTAATAAATGTGAAACAAATTATGATGGAATCAAAATACTTGAAAGTAGCCAGTTTATTGTCTTTTGTCTATTGTATTGAGTATAGTTCATTTTCTGGTAGCCTCAATATGTTTTACTTGTTAAATGCAAAATTATGGATATGATATTATTATTATTATTAATATTTCATTCTCTTCTTCTAGTGTCTTAATGAGATCCTGGAGTCTGCAGACGCACCTCTGGAAGTCACAGATGGATTTATCCAGTCAATTTCCTTATCTGTTCCGTGGGGGTCGTTGCTACAAGATAACTGTGCATTAGAAGTAAAAGGATTAGAAATGGTCTTCAGGCCAAGACCAAGGCTTGGTAAGCTTATTTTTTAATTTTCAAAAAGGAAATTCTTTACAGTTTTTCAAGAGGCAAAAGTTACACTTGCTTTTGTCAGTTTTTAACCTTATTTGAAGTGCCATCTAAATGACATACGTTAATGATAGAGAATAAAAAGAAAAAATAAACTGTTAGTTGGTTATCAAGTGTTTCTCAATTGGTTGTTGTTCTGTTAAATAACTGTTAAATAACAGTAGGAGCATGATAAACATTTTATCTCTTCCTCCAAACAGTTTCAGACATATTGAAAGTAACACTGTGGAAAGGAGTTTTTGTTGCCTAGGGTTTTTGGGTGTTGCATGCCAAGTGCTGTTAGTCATCATTAGTAGCTGGCTACTAGATGGCAGTAGGATAACACAATAGCATAAGACTATGAGGGGGGGTTACACTGTGATTCTGGATTTCTTCATCAACTTTAGGGGAAAAGATGCATCTTCTTGTCTGTTTGGAGAACTATTACATTCTGATTGCTGTCACAGTCTGAGATGACTTTTAAGTACTCTGAATACTTAACTACCTTTGATTATAAAGCTGAGAGGATTGTCTGAGCTTTTCTAGCTTGCCTGTATCCATATGAATCTAGCTGATCTAGTTTAGACTGTCCTGGTGATAAATTTCCACTATCAAACCTTCATAAATTCTGTTAAGATGTGTTGTTATAGCGTATGTGGGACATTTAGTGCATTTTCAGTGTGTGGAATATTTAGAATGAAAGTCTGAATGGTTTTAATTTGTTTTGCTTTTTATAGTGTAGAGAAGATGGAAGAAAATGTTTCTCTAAATGCATCGTAAAGAAAAGAAAAAAATACATAAACCCTATTTTCCATCTCTTGAGAGTTACCTTAAGTAACTTTCTTATATATAATGTGGATTTCATTCTTATTTGTTTAACTGGAACTAAATTTTGAGCTATCTTACTTTCTAATGTAAGATTATTGCTTTGAAAGAATTGTAGTATTAGGAGGAAGCTTTATTTATTCACTTGCATCTGCTTAGTTCTCTTTGATGCACAGAGCTTTATAATACAGTAGAAAAAACCCATGATGCTGGTATCACACTTTTGTAGCCACATGGGTGTTTCCAGACCTGAATGCAAAACTGGGATGTTTTGCCAGTTTAACATGTTCGTGTTTCTGTTAGTTTTACTTCCGTTTGCCTACAGTAGAGTGTTATAGTTGAATTTGATTAACTTTTCTAATCTAGCTTTATGGTATTTGTTCACAATAGGCTTGGCATTAGCTGGTAGGAATGCACTGTCAATTAAGTTAATCTGCCTGCTAAAAGACTTGCTCAGCTTAATACGTGCTGTGCTGTTGGATTTAATTATGTTCTATTTGTTATGTCAGGTCTGTGTTAGATATTTAAAACATGTTCTAACATGCTAAGATAGCATCTTAAACCTTGTTTAGACTATCCCCATCTAGGATATGTTTCAAAAGGAACAAGAACATTAAAATAATTCTTTAAAAAAGGCAGTTATTTCCTTGATTTAATTTCACCGATTATGCCTATGAAATTATACTGGTATAATAAAAGTACTTGAGAAATTATTCACTGAAACCAGTGCTGAAGTTATACTAAATCCTGGTTTCATCTTGTTTATATTGTGTTTTCAAATACCAGAACCTTACCAATGCAATCTAAATAGTTTGAAGTAATTTTAAAGTAGTAAACTGTATAAAGAGAGATTGTAACTAAATTTTTTTTAAGTATAATTTCTTGCTAAGATGTTGAAACTTTTCTGGGTGTGCCAAATGTATTACTTTGTTGTGTCTTTATTGTTTCAAAATGTTCAGAGTCAAATTTATTAAGACTTCTCTTACTCCACAGCATCTGGGTCTGAGCCTATGTATTGGTCAAGTTTTATGACCAGTAGTATGCAGCTTGCAAAAGAGTGTCTTAGCCAAAAATTGACAGATGAACAAGGAGAAGGGTCCCAGCCTTTTGAAGGACTTGAGAAATTTGCAGAGACTATTGAAACAGGTATGAATTAATTACTGAGATCTGAATGAACATCTGAGGTTAAATCAGTTTGTGTTGTGTCTCTTTTACAAAATGGCATCTCATTTGCTGTAACCTGTCTCACAGGTAATGCTAACAAGTGAAAATTTGTAAAAGAAATAAGAAGGCAGGACAATTGATCTTGGTTTTGAAGGGGGAAAAAAAAGCCCATTTATTTACTAAAATACATGTGTATTTCCCTCTGTGGACAGGACAAACCCTACTTCAGGGCAAATTAGTGTTTGTTTACCAGAACAAATACAGCTAAATCAGTGCTTGAGTGATTGGTAAGATCCCTTAGTTTTGGAGGTGCCAATTTAGTTTGTCACACAAACTTAGCATTTTAGTGGTGATGCTCTTGAGGGAGAAAAAGAGAATGGTTTTTCAGCTTTTTTACACAAAGCTGACCTGTTATGATGTATATATCTCAGTAGTCACACCATGTTGTTAGAAGTAATTTAGAAACTGGTTTTTGTTGCTGTTGTTTTTAAGTGGAAGAAACTAAGGGCTCACGACCACGTTATGCAGTTGAGAACCTAGTGTTGAAATGTCTGAGCTAAGAGAAGTGTTTAAAATCAGATCTAGAAATAGAAGGTATTCAGCCAAAGCAGCATAGTGCTCTAGCAATGTTCAGGAGTTCAGACATGGTGCATAATGAAGCAGGTATTTTCTTTGAGGATCATCCACGCTGAGCTGTAGAACAACTTGCCTTGAGCTGTCAGTTGCTCAAATATCTATGCATTACAGGTCCATGGCATGGTGTGGATTAAATTAGACATTTAGTAGGAATTTACATTGTCACTTGATGTCTTGTTACATACTCACTTGATTATTTCAATTGAAATAAATTTTGAGAACTTAAACAAAAAGAAAGATCGTCTTGAATTGGCTATATAAGTAATTGTTGAGTAACTTGACTCAAATGTTTGCATGGTATCTTTTTGTTTTCTCATTTAAGTTCTAAGAAGAGTGAAGGTTACCTTTTTAGATACTGTTTTGCGAATAGAACATGTGCCAGAAAACTCTAAAAGTGGAACTGCACTTGAAATCAGAATCGAAAGGTAAAGAGATTTTGTTTTTTAAATCTGTGGGGTCTTTTTCTTAATGCACTTTTTTTGCCGTTTCCTGTACAATTTATTTTACCTATGCACACACATTCTTAGTATACAGTTAGACACTATCTCTTGAGCACCTTCTTATAATGGCAGTGAATGTTTTCTCCACTCAACTTCCACTTAACATGTCTAAGATAAACATTAACCATCAAATTAAAGTTTTACATTTTCCAAAGATAAGTTCCACTTCCACAATTAATGCATACCGTTTCTCAGAGTTCCGCAATCAAGGATATTATTGGCAGAGCAGGCCATCTCTTACTCCAAAGGGTTTTACTACCTTAACAGTTCCTCTTGTATATTGAAGCACTCAAAGTATTAGATGTCAGATTTTAAAAAAATTCAGATTCTGAAGCAAGAGTTGTGTGTGTCCTAATGGAAACGTTCATATAGAAGTGTTGGGTGGACTGCTTCACTTTGTGGTCAGATTTGACATAAGTACTAGGATAATACACTAGGGTATATTCACACTGGAATCATGTCACAGTTTTCCTGTGGTGTCCTGTAGAAAATGTAAGATTTCTACCCATTTCCAGAGAGTGGTGGTTTCTCCTTTCAGGACAGTCAGTGGCATTGTAAATAATATGAGGAAAGAGAGCATGTACAAACTTAGAGGCTAAATGTAAAGGTAACAATTTGCATGCACTTACCATCTTTATTTCGTTGCTTTTGTCTCCCAGAACTATGTACTGTGATGAAACTGCAGATGAGTGCTCTGGAATTAATGTACATCAACCCACAGCTTTTGCTCACAAGTTACTGCAGCTCTCAGGTGTCTCTTTCTTCTGGGATGAGTTTCCTGCATCAGCAAAGTCCTCCCCAGTGTGTTCAGCTACACAGCTGGTAAAATTAAATACATAATATAAGAATATAAATTGATGAAGGACAGACTATATTGTTACTCTTGTATATTAGATTAATTCTGAAGCATATAGGAGTTGAACTTTTACTTGAATCTGTGTTTGGTAAGTTTCATAATCACTTCCTGTTGATTTTGGGGAGAGGGAAGGAAACAGACTTTAGGACTGAGTAACATTTAGGATGTATTGTACTGGAATCTGTTTGCAACTTAAATGTGTAGAAGTCGTCTGCAATTCACTTGCAGAAACTTGATGCACTTTTTTGCAAAGGCCTGATGTTTCACATTTTACATGCCTTGTTTCTTTCACAGCTGTCAATGAATGTTTTTAGTGCCATTGTCAATTTTATATTTGTGTAAAATGCTCATTTGTGTGATAAGGTTATTTGAAATGCTTGGCTTGTTGTGTTTTGTGTGTGGTTTGGGTTTTTTTGGTAAAAAAAGGGATATATTCTTATTCCTTCCTCTGTAATGTTTTTAAGGCAACTGAACCAAAGCTTTCACCTAGCTGGAATCCAAAAATAATTTATGAACCACATCCCCAATTAACAAGGAACTTGCCAGAAATTACACCTTCTGACCCTGTACAGATCAGTAAGCTGATTGGTAGGATGGACTTGAGCCTAACATTAAAGCAAAATGAAGTACTTCCTGGAGCTAAGGTTAGTCATGCTTTCCTGGTCTTAATCATAACTAAATTAATAGTTACGTAGGATTTTATTTTTTCACTGCATACAAAAAATTATGAGATTCTCAAGGGGACAGAATCCGCTTAGTTTTGTTTTAGATTCTCTGTACTCACAACCGATATGTATGTGTAATAAGACATCATTACAGTGGCCAGACAAGTCAGTTGCACTCTGAACTCGGTTAAAGAAGATTTCCTGTATGGTAGAGAGACTGCATTTGTATATTGGAGTAACTCCTGAGAAACTTGTGTTTTCGTGAAACTCCTGCTGCTATTCATTTACCCTCTTTTCTTGTGACATTATGACTGACTTGGCCTGTGTATGTGTGGAATGCTTAACTGGTTGATTAAAATCACTTTGGTTTTAAAAGGCTGTACTTCAACAATTAAAAGTAAATCTTAAACAATTAATTAGGTTGCAGCATTATAAAACTAACACGAACATTTCTACTTTTGAACTTTTATGTTAAAATTTATAGTAAATAATGCCATATTTAAATGCTACTAGTTAAAACAATATTTTATTTGACTTTTACATAAAGGAAGCAAAACAGTTGAAAATAAAGCCCTATTGATTTTTAAAAGTGTGATTATATAAGTAAAATTGTGTAAATATATTGCCCTTGTCTCCGGTTTGAAAAACGTCTATTGACATGTCTTGTATAGTGCACTATATTCTACAGAAGCAGAAAGTTTCTTATGTCCAGCATTTTTTTTCTTTCTTTGTGTGTGTTTTAATTTTTTTCAGTTGGATGTAGATGGACAAATAGACTCTGTACATCTATTTCTGTCACCAAGGCAGGTGCATTTCCTGTTGGACATGTTAGCAGCTATTGCTGGACCAGGCAAGTGAACATTCTGTAAATGTTAAATGTGTATCATAGTGGACAAAAAATAAACTTTGCAAGATAAACAAGTTTTCTCAGTGGAAAAAAAAAATGTGATGGTAGATTATTATTAATTTCTATCTGATCTTAGGAGAATTTTTTGTAGCTGCTCTGAGTAGGACTATGATCAATTTATTTACTTCAGTTGCAAGTTGTACATGCTGGTAATGAAAATGTAGGTAACAAATAAGGCTTGACAAGTGACTGTATAGTAGGACAAGAGAGGAGGAGTTCAGGAGGCCAGAACAACTTTATTTTTTGTAGCTTCTGTTCTATGAGAGGGGCTTATCAGTCTCATTCCTTGTCTGCCCTTTACTTTAGTGACAGGCACAGAAAACATCGAACAGATACTAATTGAATTTGTCCATATTTACTAAGTAATGAACGTCAGTTTTGAGACTACTGCAGTAGCAGGATGAGGGTGTTTTGGTTTGTACCTCCCACCCCATCTACCAAATGTAACAACACTTTATTATTAGGATAGACAGCTAATCTTTTTGAAAAGATTTGTCAGGTCTGAGGTAGATGTTTAATATTCTTCTAGTGATACTGATATATTTGTTGTACTGGACTTGTTAGTTGTTTTTGGGTCACTGGAAAAACATTACATATAGTTTCCCGTATGCGTCATCTTCAAACCTTAAATTTTAATAATTCCTTAATAGTAAAACCTTTAAGAGATTGTATCCTTAGTCTCAAGAGCTGACTGGGAAGAGAAATATATGCTGATATTATATATGAACACATTTGCATATATGTCCTTAAAGTATTTTCTGCAGACTTGAAATTTATGAATACTAGGGAGAGAGTAATCTGTTTTGGACAAGTAAAATCTCCAAAACAACAAAGTGCATGTATATAGACATCTGATATACAACAGATAGGTGTATAGATATATACAGATGTGTATATATACAACAAGAACCGTTGCTTAATTTTTGGATTAATTTTTGAATTTTCTTTGGGATACTGGTAAGGAAATTACAGTGCACTTTCTGTCCTTTTTTTGAATTCAGAGAGCCTAAGCAGGATAGAATTGTCAAATAAAGATAGGAAGAACCGGCCAATGCAACAGGAAGATGAATATCGGATTCAGATGGAGCTGAAACGTTATTTAAGAAAAGAGTCTTTGTCTGCAGGAGCATCATCTGAGCAAAGCTTCTATGAGACAGAGAGTGCCAGAACGCCTTCTAGTCGTGGCAAGTATAAAAGATGATCCAACATAGCAAATAACCTGTTGTTAAGATTATTAAAAGATGAACAGTCAATTAATCTCTTACTGACTTTACATGAAAGTTCTTTTGATACTTGAATAATTATATGCTCTTAATTGTACTATTGAATAAAAAATTAATGCTTAGCTTAAGTACCAGGCTAGACTTGATTCAATATTTCATTAAAACTGTTCAGTAATCTGTATATTATTGTGCAACATGATAAATACACATGCAGTGTAACATCTTTTCAAATGCATGGTTGAGGGATTTAAATACAGAATAATAGTTACATTGCCCTGATATTTATATTTTTATTTGAATATCTTTTTGCAGATTATGTTTAATGTGAAAATATGAACTTTGATTTGTCAAAAGGAGAGTGTATGAATTTATAGAAATTATGTCAACTTGCCTTTTTTTTAATAAACTCTGTCCATAAATACTACTAGTTTCAGTGTCAAGAGAATTTGTAACTTCCTGTAAATAATATATTTAGCTGTTTATTCTGTCTAGCAGTTAGATTTCTGAACTTTCAAGTACATCTCTGTTGAAGGGGTTTTTTTATTAGAAAATAACTCTTGACTGTCTGTGGTTCATATTAGAAGAAGAAGTTTTCTTCTCAATGGCTGAAATGGACATGTCTCACAGCCTTTCCTCCCTTCCGCCTCTTGGAGACCCTCCAACTATGGATCTAGACTTGTCTTTAGCCAGTACATATACAAATACACCAGCAGGATCTCCACTGAGCACTACAGTGGTATAGTATTAACTACATTTAAAATCTTTTTGAAATTAACACTTTTGTCTGAAATTATTGCATAATTATTCTTTACTATCAAGAACTATTGCCAAATTCTAGGCCAACTGAAAATGTTTAGAGCTGATATTATTCCTTTTCTGCTATGGAAAGTTTCTCATCTGTTTGGCTACCAAGACAGAAACTTGAATTTATTTGTTTTCAAATGCCTTGAAGCTTATATAGAACACTTTATTTTATTTTCAATAACTGTGTGTTTGCCATCTGTGTTTTCTTTTAATATGGATTACACAGGCAATAACAATAAAAAGTACAAAGTTGTTGTATTACATTTTTCCTCAAACAACATAAAAATTGTGGTGTTGCTATCGCGATCTTTCCCAAATCTGTTATGAGCCTAATCCTTTGCTTGATGAAAGACAGGGAGAACAGTTGTGCTTTTTACAGAGAAACAAGAGAATATACGCTCATGGAGAGAGCAGCTTTAGTTTTAAAAATATGTCAGTGTAGATGATCATAGAATTAGAAAGCAAAGCCCAAAGTAAAGCATATCTACATTGTTTATTTGAGCACTACTATGCCATTAAATGGCATGCTGTTGATTGTTTATGCATGTATTTTCTTTTTGTTTCTTTATATTTGATCTAATGTCTTAACATCTGTTTGTCAAATTTAAGATCATATATATTTTTGTTTTAGCTTCAACCAACTTGGGGTGATTTTCTTGATCGTAACAAACAAGAACTACAACCTCCAAGAGGTTCTTCACTTACAGCCAACATGGTTCACCAGACTTCCTTAAGAAGGACATGTGAGTAAAAATATTGTTTTGCATTCTGCCACGTAGGTAATTCTGGAAATGAATTGTTATGCAGCAACTTGGTAAAAAAGAAATTAAAATTGAAAGTAAGATGATTTTATAAATGTGTTGTTTCTGAAAAATTACATGATCTTAATTTTGTATTTCAGCTATTCCATCCAGATCTGTTTCTGTGGATGAATCCAGACCTGAGCTTCTTTTTAGACTGGCAGTTGGAACTTTCTCAGTGTCTGTACTTCATATTGACCCTTTACCCCCACCTGAAAGTTCACTGAACCTTAACCCATTGACACCAATGGCTCGGGATTTCTTTACCCGAATAGAAAAGATTGAGCCCGTTAAGTTTTCAACAGAAGATTTTCTGTCCTTCCGAGAAGTATTTGCAGAAGCTTGTTCTCATGATCACCTTAGGTACAACTTTGCTTATTAATAAATATAATTAACAAAAATATCTTTTAAGTAAATTTGAGTAAAGTATGTTTATTTCCATGGGAGTTGTGTCACTTAATATTTGAATTGCATTATACTACTTTGTTAATTTCAAAATAGTGTTGAATTTTGACATCTGTTATCTATTTTTTTTCAATAAAAAGTGCATAAATGGTAAGATCAGCCTATCTCTTTTGAACAGTAGATGAATTAAACTAGATACAGCTTCTACCACAGAAATGTAGAGTCGAGAATCATTGAGTAAGTTATTTCTTTAGAAGTCTTATTTTATAGGACCATCTTTATTCCAGTATAGAGATTTCTTCTTGAAGGAACTTAAGGCTTTACTTATTGCAAAAATAGTGTATCAGAAGGGATAAAAAGTAAGTGTGAGCAAAATCATAAAGTTAGTCAACAGTCTTTTTTTCCAGAAGTTTTTACTGTCCCAATACAGTACATGAAGTAAAATATTTAAGGTTATATATATCTTTTCTTACCTTATGTATGTAATTTAGAATTCTTGAGGCATTTGACATTTTCATTGTCTACATAAGGATGTTAGATTCCCAGCTTTTGGAATTGCAACTTAGTTTAGGTGTCTAAAGTATTCTTCACAAATTTCTCTACACTGACCATTGTTGATTGTGTAACATAAGTGAGCTCCATTGTCTTTGTTGCTAAAGCTATAATCTGTTATAATTAGAATTGTTTCTTTTTGAAGAAATAATGGTGGTTTTAATAATTTTTAAAACTGCTGTAGTGATCCTTTTTTTACATGTTTAAATCTTGACTTTTCATAGTTTTTGTTGTTTTATGTTACTTTTCATAATTTTAATAATTCAGATTTATAGGTACTGGCATCAAAGTGTCTTATGAACAAAGACAAAGGACTGCCTCTCGAAGTTTTAGTACTGATTTATCCATTGGGAATATGGAGTTCCTGGAATGCCTTTTTTCTACTGATTCTCATTCCATTCAGCCTCACTATACGGAGGTATGTAAAAAATACAGGGAGTTCCATACAAAATAAGTGTTAATTGTATAACTGAGAATGATAGATTCTAAAATTGTTGTAATTCTAAAATTTTTTAATTTAATTATTTTTTTTCTAATATCTTATCGTTTTAAGATGCAGCTTGTATTTTAATTGCAAGCTCAAATAGTGAACCTGACTGCTGTCGTATCTGACAGGAATACCGTTAAGTAGCCAGAATTAATTAGTTTACTTCTCTTTTAAATATGCTTAACACAGTTTGTGAATTAGAGTAAATGTTTTTGAAAGACTAGCCAATGTAGTTGAAGAATGCAAAGGTTTATTTGGGTGATTATTCTTCCAGCAATTTAATGGTCAGAGACATCCAATAAAAAGGGGCTGAATAATTGGATTGAGTAAGTGGCTGGGCTGGGACTGTGTTTGCTGATTTGATTGTAGGGTTACTTACTGTCTGTTCTAGGTAAAATTTCATAAATATATTTTCCTGTGACAACTCTTTCCTCCTTATGTGTTAAGTAATTTTAACTCTGTTTTATTCTAAAGCTGCTGACCTTTCATTCTGAAGAAGGAAATGATTCTCATGCTGTACCATGCCTTCAGCTTCATTATAAGCATTCAGATAATAGAGGACCTCAGGTAAGGTGGGAGATTAAAACCACCTAGTTTCTGTATAATAGCTTTTGTCTAATTTTGTTAATTTTAACAGAAAGGTATATTTCCTGTAAAACAGAGAGTCTTTAACTCTCAGTTATTGTAATTTGTTTCACTGTATTAAGGATTTTAGTGCTTTTTCTTTTTCTTTGCAGGGTAGTCAAGGGAGACTCAGTTCTGTTCCACAGAAAGCAGAATTACAAATAAAGTTAAGTCCAGTGTTTTGTGAGGTGGATATTAGTATTGTAGACAGATTAAATTCCTTACTTCAACCACAGAAACTAACTGCAGTGGAGATGATGGCATCCCACATGTATGCTTCTTACAACAAGCACATAAGTCTGGTAAGTTGAAAGTGAAATTGATTAATAAATTTAACAGATTTTCTTTCAGGAGGAAGGCAGGATGGCACTAAGCCTGCGATTGCTAATTCTGATTGATTTGTGATGGTTGAGTTTCTCTGTTTGGTTTTTGTTTTTTAGTGGGGGGGGGCTTTTTTTGGTTTGTTTGCCTTTTTTTTTTTTTTTTTTTTTTCTTTTCTGATACCGAACAGTAGCCATCTGATCTAGATGCTCATTTAGACTCAGTGATCACATGCTTGATAACAGGCCTAAAGACAATGGTAGCTGCTTCATCAACTGCGTAAGTTCTCAGCTTCTGGCTAAAAGAGAAAAAAAAATTTCTATCGATATGGTTATGTCCTGAAAGCCTCGATTCTTTTCAATGATGGTCAGCAAGAAACTACAGCCAGAGGAGTTTTGAATGACACATCAGTGACAGGAGCTGGAAGATATGACTTCCTGAAAGGGCAAATACATGCATGATAGTAGTTCCTGTCTTCTCAACAACAGCATCTGAAAAAAAAAAAAAAAAATCTGAGACATGGTATTTCCTAACTGTGGCTGAATATTGTTTGGTACTCTCTAATTTAAGAGAAAAAAATACAAAGATAGGTATTTTTGAAAGATTGCTGACCTCTGCAAATACTTGACTTCTAACGAAGTAGAATATTGACAGCACCAATAATAGAGGAATGTCCTAAGAGTAATAATAATTGGTGCTAATATGTGTGTTTTGTGTGATATATGAAAAATTAATCTTTTTCATTTTTAGATTTTACATTATCAAAAGTTTCCTCATAGTAATTTTTAGTGCTATTTTCTCTAATTTAGATTTTTTTTCCTTTACTTTGTTTTTTAGCATAAAGCTTTTACTGAAGTTTTTCTGGATGATTCACATACTCCTGCAAACTGTAGAGTTTCAGTTCAAGTCACTGCCCCAGCATTAAATCTCTCTGTTCGCTTCCCAATACCTGACCTACGGTCAGATCAGGAAAGAGGACCATGGTTTAAGAAATCACTTCAGAAGGAAATTCTTCATCTTGAATTTACAGATATGGAATTTAAAACCGAGTTTGTAGGAGGGTCAACTCCAGAACAAGTTACGTTAGAACTTACCTTTAAAGAGCTAACTGGTAAGAATGTTAACATTACATTCAAATACACTCTTTTATTTTACCGGATATTACATATTTGAGACAAAGGTTCTCTCATATGGTTTAACAGAGGGAGTGTCTTTCCACTTGAATTTTGGAGCAGATTTAGTGCAGTTTGGTGTTTTGTTCTCAATATTGGTGTAAGTCAAAATAATACTACTAGGAGAGGCTAGTGTATGCAGGTGTAGTGCTTGCGTTCTTGTTCTAGATCTGAGCTACTATTTCTGTTGTTTTCTGTTATATTGTTATACCAGTTTGTTTCAATTTAGGGTATCTCTGGGATCTCTGTCATGGTGTTAGCGTAAGTTTTGTAGATTTGCAGGGGGATACCAAAGCTGTGCAAATAAAGAATCTCAAGTCTAGTTGGAAATAACAAGTGATGTGCTAACTGTCATTGAGAAAACGTTAATACTTTTATGCCTCTAATATCTTTCGAAGTAATAAATCTGTGAAACTTGTTTATATTTGCAGTCTTCTCTGCTGATTTGTCATTCCACGGCTGTGATGACATTTTGTCATTTTAAGGCTGTGATGTAATGCAGTGATGCTATAAATGTAAATGCAGATATCTATGCATTAGAAGCATCTGATTTTCTAACGGCTGCTAGCTAGAAGATAATGTGAATAATGTTGTTTGTCTCTAAAAATTTATATTTAATTTTTGGAGGAAAAGATGACAACATTTGCATAAGTACCTTAGTAATAGCATTGACAAATTAGCCTGTTGGACTCAAACGTGAGGAGTGTGCGATGTGAAGTTAGCAGTTGTCATTCCTGTGTTAGTTTTTTGAAAATCTTTCTATTCAGGTTCGTTTGAAGAAGATAGTGCAGAAGCACCCATAAAATTTTTTCAAGTGTCTGGTGGCGTAGATGGAGATATAACATCATCCTCAGATAATTTTGACTGGCCTCGGTAAAGTAATGTTTTATTTTTATTGTGAGTTATTTGAAATTTTATGAAGCATTGTTATTTTTTTAATTTTAATGCAGACTGCCTGTGTGGTAAATACTTTAAAATAATGTACAAAGAAAGAACATCTAGCTATTAAAAAGAACCCCAGACTTCTCCATTGATAATAATGCAAGATGGTTTTAGTGTAGATTTGTTTCTGCGTAGAGGAGTAAATTTCAGTGAAAGTTAGATGAATGGTTAGAGACTTGAAACTTTCTCACATTTTAGTGGGGTTTTTTTGTCACTTTACCTCTTCTCCTGCTTATATATTGAAGACTGAATACCAACCAACCAAACAAAACTCTGTCTAATTTTACTTCAAAAATATTAATATAAGCTGGTATAAAGCCATAACAGCAGTAATGGCAATTATATTGTGACTGAATTATTGCAGCTTATATCACGTGTAAGGCAATACAGTACTTCAGAGTTAATGAACAGACGGACCTAATAACTGTAGAATGTAATAAGATGTTTAAAGAGGCAATTTTAGATTTGCTGTGGAATTTGCCACATACATTTTTTCCCACTAAATTTAGTAGCTTCTTTGACAGCCTGTTTGTATGGACATTTTTTCAGCGTGTTTTTCTTTTATAACAGTACAAATAAATTTTTCTGTAACAGTGTGTACATGTAATATACCGTGTCATATAGCAGAACATTTTTTAACAGCTGTTGATGGTCTAGTGATAGAAGCATTATTTTGGGAGAGTGCTAGGTTTTTCTTAGGTCACCTAATGGAGTTCAAAAAAGCAGATACTAAACTTTTTGCCCGATGATTGATTGTTTTTCCATGTCCTTTGTGCCTATAAGTTTGGTGTTTTTCTTAATGGTATTATTGCTTTGTCTGCTAAAATACATTCTTGTCTAATAAAAAAAAAATCCCTAGTCTTTGAGCTGTTGAGTTTGTGTGTTTAATGGCTAGCTAGTAGAGCTAGGAGACATTACTGTGCATCAATATAAAAATTCTAAGCACCTCTAATGGCTTATTCTGCATAACTTCTCCAATGTCAGGATTGTGTTGAAAATAAACCCTCTGGCTGTGCACTCTATTCTGGAAAGGATAGCAGCTGAGGAGGAAGAAGGTGATAATAACTTTCAAGAGGAAGAAGAAGGAGGGTCTCATTCTTTGAAGGATGTCTGTGATATTAGAAGACCAGAGCCTTCTCCTTTTTCTTCTCGTAGGGTCATGTTTGAAAATGAAGAGGTACTATAAAATTTTGGCATTGCTTTGTGCTTATGCTAGACAATATTATCACAGTACTTTATATGTGTCTTCTGGCTTCCACTTGTGATTTTGTTTTTTACTTGAGAGGGATTTTTTTTTCTTTCAGATGGTGATGCCAGGAGATGTAGTTGAAATGACCGAGTTTCAAGATAAAACAATTAGCAATTCTCATTATGTACTGGAACTCATGTTACCAAATGTTCACTTAACGTTACCAAACAAAAGCTTTTATGAAAAACTTTACAATAGGCAAGTATGCTTATTGTTTTGCTTGGTTATCGTGACTTGTACTTTTAGTTCTGTATTCATTGTTGATACAAGCAATTGAATGAGCAACTATAGCAGGAATTCATTTATATAACATTTAAGTTCTTAGAAAAGTATACAAATATCCTTCCAAGTTAATATCACTCTGATAGATATCTGATCAGTGTCATAGTAGCCAGCTGCTAAAAAGCATTTGGCAGATTTTGTGAACAAAGGGTAAAGTTAAATAGTCTATTGCCTTCAGTGTATACTTTGTTCAGATCTTTGTTAGCAATGTTTCATTTTGCTCTAATCTTTCTGAATTTTCCTTTATAAGTAGATCATTGTACTTCAAAAACTGTTGCATTCAATGTTATTCTTTCCTTTTTATTCAGTGATTGTCCATGTAAAAATTAAGAGTCCACAAGGCAGGTGGAGGAAAAAACCTTAACAACCCAGTTTTGTAAGCCTTACAAAGGCTTACGAAAATGTAGAGAAAGTGAACCCAACTTACAGATAGGTTTTCAGCATTTATTTCTGTTAGTTTTCCATCTGAAAAATAAAGAAATATAGCTAGATTAAATCAATGAAAAAATAAGTATTATGCTACACATTAGCTACAGAAAGAGAGATGTTAATCTATTTTAGCCTGTCATAGGCATTACTTCATCTTCAAAGCATTTTTTCACTTCCAGAGTGTCAAAGCTGAATCTTTCATTGAATATTCTGTTGGTGTACTTTGTACTGGATGTCACGTATATCTTTACCCCAATAGACACAAACTCACTTGAAATCAAAAGAACTAGTGTTTCCTGCAACTTTGCCTGCAAATTGGTGGGATCGAAATAGGGTTTTGTCACCGCCCCTCCAACCTACTGAACTAATATATACCTACTAACAGAGGCTTTTGTGTTACTGTCAAATGTTAGACTTTGATATGTGTGTACCATAATTACAGGAAAAAATTATTTATTGCTTTTACTCGTGAATACATTATTCTTTCTTGTGCTCTTGAACTTTTTTTCCTCTTCCTTGTTTATGAAATCTGAAATCTGTTACATGAAGTCTGCAAAGGAAATATTGCTTGACTGAACTTACATTAAGTGGGAATAGAACCATATGTTTTGTATATTGATCATGTATTTCTTCCTAGGATCAGCAATGATTTATTGTTGTGGGAACCCACAGCTCCATCTCCTGTGGAAACATTTGAAAACCTTTCCTATGGTGTTGGACTATCTGTGGCCAGCCAGCTCATCAACACTTTCAGTAAAGACAGCTTTAGTCAATTTAAATCTGCAGTTCATTATGGTAATACACTTAATAAATCATCTAGAACTATAGTGATTTAAAAGCATAATTGGTTGAAGTGATTAAGTTGATAGTAGAAAGAATTTGCAAACTTATTTACTTAAACTGAGAAGAAAACATGTAGATTACTGTTTAATTAGGTAAAATACATGTGAAATTGAGTCACCTTACTGATGGAAAAACAGTGAGTTACTGGCATAACATGTGTACTAGCTAGAGAGTTGTTTTTCATTTTCTCTCTTAGATGACGAGAGTGGATCTGAGGAAGAAACACTACAGTATTATTCCACTGTTGATCCAAACTATCGTTCACGCAGAAGGAAAAAGCTTGACTCTCAGAATAAGAACTCGCAAAGCTTTCTGTCTGTTCTGCTGAATGTGACACATGGATTAGTGTCAATATTCACAGATGTAAAGGTGAGCCCATTGGGGCTGGAAAAAGTTGTTCTGTTGTTTTGACCATGGGATCCCCTTCATGCTCTATGTACTATTTTTGGAAGGAACAACTGTTTTTACCAGTAATTCTGCAATATTCATGCTATTGTACTCTAACTAGACAATAATGCAGTACAATGTTTTAGCAATTCTATTTGCTTTGCTTTATGTGAGAATAACTAAATGCAAGCGGGAAGGTATGTATTTCTAGTGTTATGTTAGTTTAGGCTATCTAACTGCAGCAAACCCAGCTAGGAATCATTTTATAATTTCTATTCTTCCTTCAGCATTATGATGGAAATACACTGGAAGGAAAATATGGCGAATTCTGGTTTGAGTTCAACGGTGGTTCGCTTTTCAGTGTGACTAAATATGAAGGCTTTGAGGACAGACATTATGTTTGTCTCCATTCTAACAGCCTCAATTTATATCATCAAGGTAGGGTGAGATTGAGGTGGCTTTGGGACTACATTTGAAATGAGATAAGCTTTAAGTTTTTTTGGAGAAATGCTGTCTTTTTTTCCTTTTTTTTTCTTTTTCTTTTCTCTGATAGTATATAATTTGGCACAGTAGATCTAGTTCATGGCTAGTGCTTCTAAGTGCTACAGTGATACAACTTCATGATAACTGTATATACTTGTTACAGTTAATATAACTGTATATACTTGTTACAGTTTAGATCAAACTTTGGCTAGTGCTTCTAAGTGCTACAGTGATACAACTTCATGATAACTGTATATACTTGTTACAGTTAATACAACTATATACTTGTTACAGTTTAGCTCAAACTTTGCGTGGCAGCTGCTGGTCTTTAAAGATACGGTGGTCCTCTGGCAAATTAGCTGTACAGTCTGTTCTTTATTATGAAAGTATATGCTTCCTAGATGTTATTGGTTATTTAGTTTAAAAAGGTACAGGTTACCACCGGTAACCTGAATATTTCGTAGGTAGCTAATTGTAGTCAGCAGGTGAAGAATTTTAAGTTGACTGTGTAGTTTGTATGGCTGGTAACCCCCGTGTAGTTAAACCTTTTAAGTTTTTCCCCTCAAATGTGTCTGAATCAGTGATGGTCAAGTTCATGGATTTTCAGTGTAAGGCTTAATTATTGGGTGTTCAGAGGTTAACCTGGCACCATCTCATAAAATGAAAAGGAGAGACATATTCCTATGTCCATGCAACCTGTGGGAGATTTGTGCTTTATTTCAACTTTGCCGTTTTGTTGGGCAAATAAAAAAACAAACACTGGATTACCTGTAACCTCCCCTTCACAATTTTTAGTTGACAGTGTGCAAGGCTAGCTTTGGTAATTAAAATAATTTTAAAGGCATCAAGCCTAAAAAGGATTTTCTTTAATTCTTCATCAGTAAGAGCTTTGAAGCAGGAAGTAACTCATTCTAAAATCTCTTTGCAGGTATGGTAGATGGGATTGTCCCTTCCTCTGAAGTACGACTGCCCAGCACGATACGTCCCCATTGGTTGGAACCTACTATTTGTTTTTCTGAAGAAGATAGTCTTAGTAGGACTACTTCAGAGGGTGCAGGAGTGGATTGTCCAAGTATGCTGACTGTTGCAGTCAAAATACAATCAGATAAAATAGAGAGCAATACAAAGGTTTGCGTTTTCAAAATTTTATAAATTATTTGAGTTATCTCAGTTTATATGGAAGCATCCAAATGTGGGGTTACAAGGGTTATAGATGAAGAAACCATACCACTCTGAGCCATTCATCATCAAACTATAATTTTCTGTTAGAATCTTCTGGGTGGATTGTGAAATTTAAGTATCAGCATAATTTACTAATTCTTCTAATGCTTCACTTTACTGATCACACTTGGCCTGTTGACCTTTTTCTTGTTTGGTTTAGTTTTAATCATCATCTAATAGGCAGCCTTTGTTTACCTGTATGGAATGCCACTGGGAAATGAGTGTTACTTTTGGCTTTGCCAGTAGCATTTATTAGCATGGATAAAAGATGACTGCTTAGCTGGCATAGTGGTGACGAACAGGTTGGTAGAGTTATCTAGAGAAGAAGGAATCTGCAGGCCAGCACAATGTTATGGGAGCTCAATTGACATATATTTGAACTGCATAAGAAGGAACTACAATGAGTTGGTACTTCATGGTAATTCCTGGTGAATCCTAGAATGAATGAACGAACAGGTAGCCTTCCTTCCTACCACCACCACAAAATTGTCACTTCTAAACAATCCTGTTAAAAAAAATTATTAGACTGTATTAGACAGAGTTTCTGTATTAGGAAGCAAGGGTTTTTTTTTAGTGTTTAATCGTGGCCCAGTCCTTTCTTGATTTCTGGACACTTGGAGATTCTGGTAGGAGAGGGGTGACTCTGTTTCATAATCTAGATGTTAAATAGTTGCATGTATTTCATGTAAACTAACTCCTGCAACTTTCTTGTGCAGGAATTTCTGGTTGCTGTTGGACTAAGAGGAGCCACCCTTCAGCACAGAGTACTGCCTTCAGGTTTAAGCTGGCATGAACAGGTCAGATTGCTACAGTTTTCTCAACTACATCTTCAGTTTCAGTCTTGCTGCTTTAACAACTGCTTTAAGTATCAAACTAAACCATGATGGAAAATCTTTGTGTTAGGCTGTGTCTTATTATCTTTCCCTGATCTTGAAAGTGTTATTATTTACTTTCTTGTCTTTGAGACCACTGACAGACTCTTAATTCCTTACCTATGTATTCGTTTGCTACAGTTCCTCTCATCCTAAATCTCTGTCCACAATATGTCAGGGAGGTTCTGGTTTTTTTTGCCTCATGGGTTTGAGTTTTTTGTATGTGTGGTTTTGTTCTTTTTTTAAAGTTCAGATGGAAAATCTCAGTAGTCCAATGCTATCCAAGTACTTAGATAATCCTTGACTTAAAAAAACACCTTCAAAACAAATGCACTACTTGCACTGAAAGCATTTCAGTATTTTCCCCTTCTGGTCACTTTATTCCTCAAGTCCTCTTTCTCCCTTATCTATTTCCTGTTTTACATAATTCGAATAGCAGTAATGGAGAATAAGACTTTGGGGAAGTAGTAAGCAGCAGTTTACATAAAGACTTGTAATGCAAACTTCTGAATTAAAAGGGTTGTACTGATAGGTGTGGATGCAGGGTATAGCATAGCAGACAGGGCTAGAGACCCTTGATCTGAAAGCTGTGTGTAAACATGCATGAGCTAGGGCACGCCATTAGCACAGCAGCAGCATGGTTGCATGTATTTGCGTGTACTTACACCATACTGGATTACAGATAGTAAACCTTGATATTCAAGCTTATCCTGCCTATCTTCCAGCATGTATGGTATGCTTATTTTTACATGCATTTATTGTATAACTGCATGGAGCTGAACTTAGTGCTTTTGACTCTGCAGTGTCATTACCTTCTTATCAGCATGGTACTCCTATGTGTTCATGTGTCCTGTTTTACACTGTGTTGCTTATTTGCTTTGTGAATTTTTTGCTTAATTAACACTGCCTGTAATGCACTTGGGAATCTTTTTTGGAGGGGGATGGGGAAAATAAAAAATTGGCCAAAGAGAGGTAGGTAGAGGAAATGATTGAAAGGCTAGCAATGTTAGTATGCCCCAGGCTTGGAACAATTTAAGAACTTTTATAGTGTAATGCATTTGAGAGATAACTACGACAGGTCTTAAAGAGGAGGATAGGAGTTAATTTTATGCAGTAATATGTGAAAAAGCAGTGTATACAGTGCATGTGCACTTGTTTCTGAGTCTGAGCATATTTCCCACCCCTCTCCAAAGAAAAAGAAAGATAACTTGAAGATAACTTTAACAGTGTACTACAAGAAAAGTTGGCTTTTCAGATAAAGAGAGCAAAGAAAATACTAACACTGTAGTAACAACTGCAAAGAATGATGAGTGAGACTGTATTTGGGAAACGCTTTAAAAGTGGATTGTGAGGCATTGCACAAGCAGCCACTTAGGTTTCTGTGTATTGGTCTTTTCCATCCTTTGAGACTGCAGTTTGGATGTTGTATTTTTTGCCCTGTTTACATTCTGTGCTTTTCTATGTTCAGATACTGTGTAAGCACCCTTAAACATCTGAGATTATTCACTCCCTTTTCTTCCTACTAATCAAACATTTTATTGTCATACCTGTTACAGATTTTCTCTTTTCTAGTGCATGTTTGTTCATTAATTCAACAGATCTTGAAGAATTATAATAATATGTTTGTAATTTTTTAGATTTTATATTTTTTGAATATTTCTGATGAGCCTGTTCTGGGATATAATCCTCCAGCTACGATTACAACATTTCATGTACATCTGTGGAGTTGTGCTCTTGATTACAGGTAAGTAAAATGCAAGTGTATGCCACTTGGTGGCACTGCAGCTATATGTTTATTCTTTAGGAACATTTGAATTTGCATATTGTAAAGAATATTTATTTAGGCTTGTTTGGAAAAAGTACTTAACAGAAGTCCCTTAAACTGTAAGCAATTTAAAGTAGGATAAGCACTTGCCTAGGCCTGGGAAGGTCTAGTTAGGTCTAGAAGACTTTGATTGTGCTTCTAATTTGGTACAGAGTATTAATTATTTTTTTTCCTATTTGTTGTTAGGCCCTTGTTTTTGCCAGTCAGATCTCTGCTTACTGTTGAAACTTTCAGCATTTCCAGCAGTGTTGCAGTAGATAAATCATCTTCTACTCTCAGGTATAATTTAAGTGATTGTGAAACATGGAAGCTCCTGTAAAACTTGTAATGCCTGTCTGCTTTTTTGACCTAGGAAGCATTCGTGTTGTGTAAAGGGTGAGTGTCAGGAGGATGGAGCCAGACTCTTCTCTGTGATATCCAGTGATAGGACAAGGGGCAATGGGTTCAAGCTGGAACATAGGAGGTTCCACTTGAATATGAGGAAAAACTTCTTTACGGTGAGGGTGACAGAGCACTGGAACAGGCTGCCCAGAGAGGTTGTGGAGTCTCCTTCTCTGGAGACATTCAAAGCCCGCCTGGATGCATTCCTGTGTGATCTGATCTAGGTGTCCTGCTCCGGCAGGGGGATTGGACTAGATGATCTCTTGAGGTCCCTTCCAATCTCTAACACTCTGTGAAGATCACACTGGTTTGCATCTTTTGGAATACACTTTGATCATGTGTAATCCTTCTGTTTTATTAGGTTAAACAATTATTTGTTTTAGTTGGATTGCTTTCTTTAACACCTAGCAATTCTGCGATTTTTAATATGGTTGAAAGATGTCCTGAAATTAAATTGTGTCAATTTTGTTAATTAATAGCACCTTAAGTTTTCTTAAAGATTTGTTATTTGGATACAGTATATTAATTAAGGAAATTTTTAGTGATTACTGGACATCTCTGTAACTTCTAAATAATTTTTCTTGCAACTTTAGTTGAACATTCGTTCTGTTATACTTGTTCTGATGTGAAACATCTGCTAAGTTGCTTGTTTGTATTGTTAAAACTTTATAAATGACCTTTGAAACAAATACACCTGTTAGTTTACTAAAAAGAAAAAAAAGGCAAAAAAAGGAAATAAGTGTTAGTTATGTATGCGAAAAGCATAACTTTTCATGCTAGGAAGGTTCAAATATATAAATTGAAATGCAAATAAAATATAATAAGTGATGGGGAAAATATCTTGCAGTGGTTAATTACCAATGGAATTGGAAATTATGAAAGGTTAAAGTGAAGAGTTTGGAGTTAAGATATGCTATATATATTTGTGTTCTTAAATATTTTTTCTATACTAATTTATTTGGTGAATTACACAGCATTTCTCTAGCATGTTTTTAATATTTTTTTATTTTTTTAGAATAATTTTAGATGAAGCTGCTTTGCATCTGTCTGACAAGTGCAACACTGTTGTGGTGAACCTCCATAGAGGTAAGGATGTTTTAGATGTGACTAATGAATTGCAGAGCCTAAAGAAACAAAATTGCAGGCATATTCAGCATTTATAAAGGTTATTGAAGAAGAGGTCTGAGGAGATGAGGAGCAGCAAGTTGAATATGAATGAATAATGCAGTGTTAATGAAAATTTGAGTGCTCTAGTTTGGATTTGTTTGGTATGTTTGGATTTGTTTGGTATGTCAGAGAACATCAATTTGTAAGTCCTTTGTCTTGTTACAGTTCTGTAATGGGTATTTGAAAAAAGTGTATTTTTAAAAATCTGGAGTTGGCACAGAAAGAAATCTTTATAGAAGGAGATCGCATTTTCTGAGATATATGTTCTGAATGGTTGAACTTGAAATTTGTTATATGGCACAGAGTTCTAGGTTCTGAAAAGAATGATACCACCTGGCTTGCTCTTATTGATACAGTAACAGCCTTTAAAGACTGAAGAACACTGCTAGGATGCTTAGTCACCCAACTTCTGTGTGCCTGTGCTTCTCTACCTCACACAGATGGGATGAGGATAAATATCTTAAAAGATTACACTGCACACAGATGGTGGCAGTGGGAGTGATATATTGGATTGAAAAGATTTGAGTTCTTGATCTGAGTAGCTGAAACTTGATCTCTAGAGTTCAATCCTCATAAAAGAAGGAAATGCAGCGGTATAAAAGGTTTTGATAAAAAAGATCCCATTTTATGCTCATGCTATTTCTAATGGTTTAATAACCAAAAATACATAGTCAGGATGTTTTTTTTTAATGAAGTCTTAATTTTTTTTTAATTATTATTCATTGTCTTTCAGATTATGTTCGTGTTATGGATATGGGACTGCTGGAACTAACCATTACAACGGTAAAATCTGATTCGGATGGGGAA